AGTGGTGAAGAAGAAGAGGGAGGAGGAGGGGGAGGAGGAGATTGGATTTATACCACCACCCTTCACTCAGAGTCTCGGAGCGGTTTACAAACTCCTTTCCCTCCCCCTCCCCACAACAGACACCCTGTGAGGCAGGTCGGGCTGAGAGAGCTCTCTCGAGAACGGCTCCTGAGAGAACAACCCCGAGAGAACTTGTGACCAATGCTCCCTCTAAGCTGTGGGGTCTTGTGAGCAAAAGTTCTACTTTGTGAGCTACTGGCATTAAAGTTGTGAGCAAGCGATTTGGCTGCTGCGTTAATTAGTTTGCTCTGGAGCCCTCCTTCCTGAGCGAAGAGAAAAAATGTGTGAGCCAGAGACTAAAAACTGTGATCTAGCTCACACTGACTCAGCTTAGAGGGAACACTGCTTATGACTGACCCAAGGTCACACCAGCAGCTGCATGTGGAGGAGTGGGGAACAGCGCTCCCTCTAAGCTGTGGAGTCCTGTGAGCAAAAATTCTACTTTGTGAGCTACTGGCAGTAAAGTTGTGAGCGAGCCATTTGCCCCCTGCATAAATTAGTTTGCTCTGGAGCCCTCCTTCCTGAGCAGAGACAAAAATGTGTGAGCCGGAGGCTAAAAAAACTGTGAGCTAGCTCACACCCGACTCATCTTAGAGGGAACACTGGTGGGGAACCAAACCCGGTTCTCCCAGATTAGAGTCCACGCTCTTAGCCACAACACCCAACTGGTTAGGGAGGCACAAGGCGGGCACCCCCGGCCCGGGGGTTCCTTACCCGTCAAAGTTGCAGAGGTCTTGATGCAAGATGTACTCGTGGGCCTCGTTGGTTCGGCTGGTCTCTGGGTGGGGGGGAAGAAAGGGGAAGGAGGGTCATTGCTTTAGGAAAGGAAGGACCCAGCGAAGGGACAAGTAAACATGCCAGTGGGAATGAAGGGGAGGAGGAACAGGGGCTCACCTATAACATGAGTATGGATCCCTGCCAGGGCGAAAAGCGAAGCCACCTGCCCCTGGTAGATGCCCACGGCCTTCTTGCGTCCCCCGGCCGGATTGATGAAGACCAGAAGGCTCTTGGGCCTTGTGATGCCTGGGAGAGAGAGAGAGAGGGATGAAGGGTTGCCGGCTCCAGGTTAGAAAATTCCTGGCGATTTGGGGGCGGAGCCTGGAGAGGGCGTGGCTTGGGGAAGGGAGGGGCCTCGGAGAGTATAGTGCCGTAGGGGCCCCCCCTCCAAAGCAGCCGTTTTCTCTAGGGGGACCGGTCTCCAGGGATCTGTGATGAGGCCTCATTTGGAATGCTGGGTACAGCTCTGGGCACCGTCTCTCCAGAAGGACATTGCAGAGCTGGGGAAAGTACAGAGGAGGCCGAGCAAGACGACGAGGGGGTTGGAGCCCCTTCCCAAAGAGGGAAGGCCGAAGAGTCCATTTAGAAAAGAGACGACTCGGGGGGTGGGGTGGGGGGACATGAGAGAGGCTTAGGAAATGGTGGAATGAGCTCCCGAGGGAGATCCGGGCCCTGCGGGACGTTGAGCAGTTCCGCAGGGCCTGCAAGACGGAGCTCTTCCGCCAGGCTTTTGAGTAGGAGCCGCCGCCCTACTACACCACCACCGTCAAGACATCTGAATGGTGGCATTGACGGGGCCCCAGGAAGAACTTGGAATTACATCGGAAAGGCCGTCGCCACTGGATATGTACGCTGAGAATACCAGCTCGAGTCGTGGGGATACCATCTTGGATCTGGGACACTAGTGACTGGATAGACCACTTTAGTCTTGATGTTTTGATGTTTTTAAATATGTTTTTATATGTTTTTATTTATGGCTAGACTAATGATCTGGCCTCTGTTAGCAGCCCTGAGCCCACTGGGGAGGGCGGGATAGGAGTGTGAAAACAAACAAATAAATAAATAAATAAATGATGCACAAGGTGGGGAGAGTTGAGAAAGAGAACTTTTTCTGCCTCTCCCAAAACGATAGAACTTGAGGGCACCCACTGAAGCGGATGAGCAGTAGGTTCAGGAGGGACAAAAGGAAATACTACCTTACACAGAGACCGATTTAAAAAAAACAGGATCACGAAACCGCAGGGAAAATCGGGCGGCGGCGCGGGTCGGAATGCGGCCGCGCGGCTTCGAGTGGGGAATTGACCGATAGAAGCGGGGCAAAGGGAGGTGCGACCGCGGCGCAGCCCTTGTGTGAAATCGGTCAGAGTGATTAAAAAGGGAATTCGCTGCCAGAGGGTGTAGCGATGGCCACAGGAATAAACAGCTTTCAAAGGGGATTCGATGGATTGATGGAGGAGAAGTCTCTCAATGGCTCCTAGCCATGATGGCCAAGGGGAACCTCCACGTTCAGAGGCATTGAGCTTCTGAATCCCAGAGCCAGGAGGCAACCTCAAGGGAAGGCCTCGGCCTCTCTGCCTTGTCGTTGGCCCTCCAGAGGAACTGGCTGGCTGCATGTGTGAGACGGGGTGATGGACTAGATAGATCGCTGGCCTGATCCAGCAGGGCTCCGCTTTTGTCCTTATGAGATCTCCAGGCCACTCCTGGAGGTTGGCAACCCTAGACTCAGGTCTGCATTCGCCGAAGCGTCAGCGAGAGTCCTTGAGTGCAGGCAGAGAGCCTCTCTCTCATCACTGAATAATCTCAGCGGTCCCCCACCCCAGGGAGAATTACAAGCGCCCTCTTCTCCACAGCTCCGATACTCCCCCCGCCCTCCTCCCTCCCAGGCAGCCGGGAGCTGACCGTGGTGAGAAATCCAGATCTGCAGGGCTGTGACCCAGCGGGTGGCCAGCTCCGACTCGGGTGGGGCTGTGAACTCCAGAGATCCCAGGCTCCACCGTCCCCCCTTCTCTCTCTGGACGAAAAACACTGCGGATGGGAAGAGACAAGAGGAGAGACCTTAGAGAGGTTAGCCGGGAGGTGATGGGTGGAGTCACGGACAGCCCACCTGATCTCCAGATGACATGACAGATTTCGACGAGAGATAACATATATCCAACATTCGAAGAATCCACAGCAGTTTCCTGAACAACCTTATGCCGAACGCCACTGTAGCTGCTCCTTGAAGTACTTTCTCATGACCAGAAGCAGAGGTCATTTCCTGCAGGAGCACACAGGAGCGGAGCTCCGGCAGTAAAGAGCCCAGGGGGCGGGCACAGGCAGCAAGCCCCACCCCCTGCTCCCAGCAGCCCTCAGTCGGAGCAAGAAGCAGCCAGGTAAGTTGCAGAGCCCCCTGGCCCAAAATAGTCCAGTGGCTCCTTTAAGACCAAGTTTTATTCAGGCGCAAGCTCTCCCTCCTCTGCGAGGACAGACCTGCAGGTTCCCCCCTCCCCCAATAGCTAGCGATCCAAAACAGCCCAGTGGAGACTGAGCAATGGGTGTTGGCTTCTGACACACTTCCGGTGATGGCAGGGGGTGTGGCATATGCAAATGAGTTATGCAAATGAGTTATGCTAATGAGCTCCTGATCAGGGGCTCAGAACCGACTGGCCCTCCCGGGTCTTAAGGAGGCCAGGCTGGCGGTAACCAGGGGCAGGGCTTTCTCGGTGGGGGCTCCTCTCTGGTGGAACCAGCTCCCAGAGGAGATCAGGGCCCCACGAGATCTCTTGCAGGTCCGCAGGGCCTGTAAAACGGAGCTCTTCCACCAGAGCTCTGGAGCCCCCACTACCATTAAGAGCTGATAGCCAAGGTCAGAGAGCCCTGTTTTCCCCTTGGAACCCCAACAACAGCCTGAGCCAGCTGCCGGAAGGAGAATTAAAGAAGACTGAGGATCCGGCCGTGAGACGAGAGAACTGAATAACAGCAGTCATGATGAAATTAATGTTTACTAGCACTTTAAAGGGTTTTAGAACTGTTTTAATCTAATTTATATTTTATGTACTATTGTAATTATATGCTGCATTTGTGTAAGCCGCCCTTGGCTGGGAGGGTGGGGTAAAAATTCAATAAATAAACTAAACAAATGGCTCACTGATTCAGCTTTTGAGGCTGCGCAATTTATTTGTATTTATTTGTTTGTTTGGTTCCGTTTCTATTCCGCCCTTCCCGCAAACAGGCTGAGGGCGGGTTCAGTAAAGGCAAAGGTTCCCTTGCTCGAAAGCCAGTCGAATCCGACTCTAGGGTTGCGGTGCTCATCTCTGTTTCAAAGCCAAAGAGCCAGCGCTGTCCGTGGTCGTGTGGCCGGCATGACTAAACACCAATGCGCACGGAACGCTGTTACCTTCCCACCGAAGTGGGACCTATTTATCTACTTGCAATTTCTTGCTTTCGAACTGTTAGGCGGGTTACAAACCTTAATATAAGACAGTAAGAGCAAAGATTAAAACTAAAATTTAAAATGCAAAATCCACTCTGTTAACCACTATGGCCAGGAACCTCCCACACAGGCCTGTAGCCAGGAATTTCTAAGTCGGGGGCATTTAAATTCCTCGGGGGGCACTGACCAATTCAATTAAATGTAATTTAATTAACTTGATCGGTGCGGTGCAGGGAAGAAAGGTGTGGCACGGGGGGGAGGCGAGGAGAAACGGCAGCCACAGGAACACAAGGGAGTTCATGGTGGCCGCTGCATCTTACCAGAGAGTCAGGGGGGAGTCTGGGCAGAATGCGGGGGCAGAAAGGAAGTCGGGGGAGCTTCGTAGGAAGTCATGGGGCCAGGCCCCGAAATGCCCCCCATAGCTACGGGCCTGCTCCCACAACCAGAAAATTTCATTGTTATCAGCTGCGACCACCACTTTAATACTTATGATGATGTTTTAAATTTTAATTTTATTGTATTAACTAATATTTTGTATCAATGAAGTGTTGTTACCCACCCTGAGCCCACTTCTGGGAAGGTCGGGCTATAAATGTGAAGAAATAAATAAACAAACAAATCAATCAATCAATCAATCAATCAATCACTGAAGTGGACTGAAAGTGGACTGACAACTATAGACCAACAACAGACCATGCAAGTATTGAATGAAGAGCACGGTTACTTCTCCACGGTCTCTGTGCATCACCCTTGATAGGCTTTGCGCCTGCGCAAAGCTACGATTCAGAATGTGTGCACCGTCCGAGACTAATGCCGCTTTCACAAACACTGAATAATCCATTTTCAGCCCACTTTCAACGCACTTTGCCACTGGATTTTACTTTGTGAAACGGTAAAATCCATATGCAAATTCTCACTACTATAAAGTGCACGGAAAGTGGATTGAAAGTGCATACTTGAATGCAGTTTCAATCCACTTTTAATGTACTTTCCAAGTGGATTTTACTGTGTGAAAAGGAAAAATACACTTGCAAACAGTCACTAAGTCGCCCTGAGCCCGCGTAGCGGGGAGGGCGGGGTATAAATTGAATAAAATAATAAATAAAAGAAATAAATAAAGTGCATGGAAAGAGGACTGAAAGTGCATTATCGAATGCACTTTCGATCTACTTTTAATGCACTTTACAAGTGGATTTTACTGTGCGAAAAGGCAAAATCCACTTGCAATCAATCACTAAAGTGCATGGAAAGTCAACTGAAAGTGCATTAAAAATGTACATCCAATATACTTTTAATGCACTTTACAAGTGGATTTTACTGTGTGAAAAGGCAAGATCCACTCACAAACAATCACTAAAGTGGATTGAAAGTGCATTATTCAGTGTGTCTGAAAGTGCTCTCTGTGTCTGAAGGGAGATTTTCACATCTGGTTCTAGAAGCATCTGGATCTTGGGTCTATGCAAGCATGAAGCCTACCGCAGTGTGAAGGCACAGGTGACAACTTGAAGACAAAGAGTCACAGGTAAGCCACCTGTTTGTTTGCCTGCCCCACGCTCACCTGTGAAAGAGTTTTCATCCCTGGCAGGACACGAGTCCCCCTTTGCCTCCCTGGCTGTTCCAAGCCTCACGGCGACCATTTCCTGGACAGGAATGCAGAAACCGGGACCTGGAAGGAGAGAAGATGGTCCAGAGGCCTTCAAGTCCAGCTCAGCAATCCGATTTGGGAACAGGAGCCATGTTTTGAACCCAGCCAGGGGAGAAGGGGCTCAAAAGTGTTCTTTCTGCCTCCTGACACTTTTTCACCAAGACTAAACACCCCAAAGTTTTGTCATGCAAACATGGTGATGGAAAGTGCCATTCAAGTCATAGCCAACTTACGGCAGTCTCTCATGGGGTTTTCAAGGCAAGAGAATTCAGATGTGGTTTGCCATTCTTTGCCTCTGCATAGTGATGCACAAATCTGTGGCCGTGTGCTCCCGGGGCCAAATTGGAAACACGCAGTCAGAGTCCAACGAGTTAGATAAATCTGTTTATTGCAATGAAACAGGAGATACAGGGCTGACTACCTTTTGGCCCCCAGAGACGCCAAGCTGTATCCTGCCATAACCAGGAAAGGCAGAAGGTCTTATACCCCAGATGACATCACATATAATTTACACATTAAAGAATCTCTAATTGGCACCAAATGGATGCGTCATTTGACTCTAAACTATACTATTGGTCTCTCCTTATACTGGTCATGTATGTCAGTGATTGCATTTGCTTATCTTACTTTAGAACAATTAGAAACATTAGGGGCCTCAGCGCCTTTCTGGCCTCAGCAAAGCTAGCCTCCCTCCACCTCGCTTTTGGAGAGCTAGCTGAAGGGCTGTGATTCACCTTAAACTTAGCTCTTGGCAGCTTTCCCGGTACCAGATGCTTTTTCTTACAAAGGAAATACATTGTTTTGAGAACACTAAAAAATCTGTACGCCACATAACTTTCCAAATAGCATTCCATTCTATTGCATCCTAATTCCATCCACAGTGGCCTCTAATTATGCTTCTATATACAGTACAATACAGTTATAATATATATATGTTCTACTATAGATTTCTTCCATCTGGGCTAAATACCAAAATAGAATATACTATGATTAAACTCTTATGCAGGCACAGTGACAGCTGTCAATATATGTCAAAGGAGATATCAGAAATCACATTCATTTTCCCCTTGTCCTACAATAGCAACCCAGGACCTCCTTGCTGGTCTCCCAGCCAACTATTAACCAGGGCTGACCCTGCGTAGCTTCAGAGATCTGGTGAGATCAGGCTAGCCTGGGCGATCCAGGTTAAGGCAAAGGACCAACAGAGGTAGTTTACCTCTGTGTAGCAAGCCTGGAGGATAACCGCTCCAGCCAGAAGAACATGGGTCGCCAGTGACCGAGGAGATGAACAAATTGGAGCTTTTAAAATGCAAATCTTGCCCCCAGATTTTATTGGGTGAAATGCAAAATAAAATCATTTTTCTTGGAAGCACAGGAGCTTTATGCAGTATCCCCGATCCTCCGCGTTTCAAACAAATTACAAGAGAAAGATTTTTTTACTTGCAAAAATAGAAGCACGTCGCTTCAAAAAAGGTTAATTTGCTACAGTTCCAAGCCTGGGTAAGAGAGAGAAGAGGAGAGGTCCGATATGTAAGATGAAACAGAAGGCCCTGCCCCCACCTGGTGGAATGAGCTCCCGTATGAGATCAGGGCCCTGTGGGATTTATTACAATTCCGCAGGGCCTGTAAGACGGAGCTCTTCCGCCCGGCTTTTAGTTGAGGCAGCGGAACCTGCTGTTGGAACCTGCTCTGAGGCTGCCTGCGGGGAGGGCGGGATACAAATCTAATATAAAATAAAAAGGCAAGCAAGGGCCAAAGCCGAAAATCCAAATGACAAGGGGAAAAGACTAGTGTCACAGGAGTCCCAAATATACAAATTCCACTAGTAGAAAACACCATCAAAGATTGCCAAAACAATATATTAAACAATTATAAAGTTGGTGGTGTCACAACAACATTAATGCATGCTGTAACCAGGGCTTTTTTTGTAGAAAAAGCCCAGCAGGAACTCATTAGCATAATAGGCCACACCCAACAGCAGGAACTCATTAGCATATTAGGCCACACCCCTGATGGCACAGCTCATTGGCATATTAGGCCACACCCCCATGTTACCAGAAGTGTGCTCATCCAGCCACACCCGCCTTTTGCTTGTTATTCTGTTTACCTTGTTTGTTGTCAAAACCCAGGGCTTTTTTTGTAGCAGGAACTCCTTTGCATGTTAGGCCACACACCCCTAATGTAGCCAATCCTAATGAGTTTCTGCTGTTGGGTGTGGCCTATTATGCTAATGAGTTCCTGCTGGGCGTGGCCAACTCGGGAGCCAGCCGGAACTCCGTTCCTGTGCGTTCCTGCCCAAAAATAGCCCTGGCTGTAACTATAATAAGGCATAAGATACAATATTTCCCCCTTTGAAGAGAAGACATAAAGTCCATGTACTCAGTGTAACTTGATAAGTTGAAAGGAGGAGTCCACATAGTCATAACATTTTCCAAACAGCCTTTGCAAAGACGCCCATTCTAGCTATTTGGAAGACCCGTTTCCTTCGACTTCTTCAGTTTGTCGGCTGTGTAAGTGGAACTGTGAAGAGATTTACACAAATGCCTAGCCACAAAAACACATATGAAAAACAGATTTTTTTTTGTGGCTAGGCCTTTCAGCCACTGGTTATTGGAGGAGAACGAGTGGAGAGGGTGGCTACTTTTAAGTTTTTGGGAGTGACTATTGAGCAAAACTTGACCTGGAGCGCTAACACCATGGCTCTGGTGAAGAAGGCCCAGCAGACTCTTTTTTTTCTCAGACTTTTAAAGAAAAATAATTTGAGTGAGAAAACATTGATGTCCTCCTATCGCTGCTCAATAGAGAGCATTTTAACATACTGTGTCTGTGCCTCGTTTGCCAGTTGTACGAAATGATTGCACCTGAATTTCGTTGTACTATGTACAATGACAATAAAGTATATTACTATTACTTTGTGTACCTTTCTTCACAGTTCCACTTACAAAGCTGGCAAACAGAAGAAGTCGAAGGAAACGCAGTGGTTAAGTGCGCGGACTCTAATCTGGGAGAACCGGGTTTGATTCCCCACTCCTCCACTTGCACCTGGCTGGATGGCCTTGGGCAAGCCATAGTTCTGATAAGAGCTGTTCTCGAAAAAGAGCAGTTCCTCTCAAGAGTTCTCTCAGCCCCACCTACCTCACAGGGTGTCTGTTGTGGGGAGGGGGAGGGAAAGGAGTTTGTAAGCCGCTCTGAGACTCCTTTGGGTAGTGAAGGGCGGGGTATAAATCCAATCTCTTCTTTTTCTCTTCTTCTAGAATGGGCGTCTTTGCAAAGGCTGTTTGGAATATGTTATGACTATGTGGACTCCTCCTATCAAGTTATCAAGTTATTTGTATATTATAGTTCTGTCAAGAGCTGTTCTTGAAAAAGAGCAGTTTCTGTCAGAGCTCTCTCAGCCCCACCTACCTCACAGGGTGTCTGTGGTGGGGAGGGGAAGGGAAAGGAGTTTGTAGGCCGCTCTGAGACTCTGAGTGAAGGGCGGGGTATAAATCCAATCTCCTCTTCCTCCTCCTCCTCTCTTAATCTTTTCCCTCTCAGATCCTCTTGCACGCAGACTCACAATATGCAACTGATTTTGGCCTGAAGGTAGCCTCAACTGGAATAACCAGCTGTGGTATCGGTGAACTCTTTGCTGGAGGAGAAGACGTCCCGGGAGCCTCAGAGAAGGTGGTGCCAGTTCTCAGGAAGGGGTGTGTGTGTGTCACATCCTTAGACTTCCAGTCCCAGCGCCCACCAAGTCAAGCGTCTGATGTTAATGTCGGGCCACAGGCTGGTGGCCATGCCAGCCTCCCCCATACTTGGCACCCCCACAAGGGCACCGGCCTCAAGAATGTGCAGAGACGATGGCTTCTTTCGGGTCAACCCAGGTCCAAATCTAAGAGTACTCAAATTCCTGGAAGTTGCCCAGGGCTCCACTTTCATCACAAAAACAGTTGCAGAGGGTAGCTGGGTTGGTGTGCAGCAGAAAAGCAAGACCGGAGATCTCAGAGTCCTTATAGCATTCCAACCTGTCTCTGACAAAGGGAGCTTCTGACTCTCGGAAGCTCACACCCCGTAAATCTTGCTGGTCTCTTAGGTGCGCCTGGACTCAAATCCACCTCTTCTACTGCAGACTCTGAAACTATTTTTATGATTAAAGTGGAGCCCTAGGCGACTCCTTAGAGTTTGCGTATTGTTTTTATGAGAACGAGTTTGGTGTAGTGGTTAGGAGCGTGGATTCTAATCTGGGAGAACCAGGTTTGATTCCCCCCCTCCTCCACATGCAGCTGCTGGTGTGACCTTGGGTCAGTCACAAGTTCTCAGAAGCAGTTCTCTCAACAGCAATTCTCAAAAGAACTCTCTCAGGCCCACCTGCCTCACAGGGTGTCTGTTGTGGGGAGGGGGAGGGAAAGGAGATTGTAAGCCGCTCTGAGACTCCTTCGGGTAGTGAAGGGCGGGGTATAAATCCAATCTCTTCTTCTTTTACCTCACAGGGTGTCTGTTGTGGGGAGGGGAAGGGAAAGGAGTTTGTCAGCCGCTCTGAGACACCTTTGGGTAGTGAAGGGCAGGGTATAAATCCAATCTCTTCTTCTTCTACCTCACAGGGTGTCTGTGGTTGTGGGGAGGGGAAGGGAAAGGAGATTGTAAGCCGCTCTGAGACTCCTTCGGGTAGTGAAGGGTGGGGTATAAATCCAATCTCTTCTTCTTCTTCTTGAAAAAGAGCAGTTTCTGTCAGAGCTCTCTCAGCCCCGCCTGCCTCACAGGGTGTCTGTTGTGGGGAGGGGAAGGGAAAGGAGTCTGTGGTAAATACAGAAGGACGTCTGGGAAAAAGATCTGGGGCCGCTTTTCTCCTCTAAGTTCAGTGGCCGCCCAGCCACTCGCCGTTCAGGTTAGGTAAGCTTGACAAGACAGGAAATCACACCCAAGTGGATTTACCAAACTCCAGAGGAGTCCTGGAGACCTTCCGGAATTGCAAGCGATCTCCGGGCGACAAGAGATAAGTTCCCCCTGGAGGAAACGGCCGCTTTGGAGGATGGGCTCTGTGGCATTATAACCCACCACCATTCCTCATCTCCGCAATCACCGCCCTCCCCAGGCCCCGCCCCCCAATCTCCAGGAATCTCCCAACCCAGAGTTGGCAACTGTACTCTGACCCCGTGTTCCTTTGACGGAGGTCCGAGTCCGAGCCTCGTCGGTCCCCGTTCAATGATTAACCCAGTTGAGGAAGCGATCCTGGCTCCGCGGAGGATCGTTTACCTTGTCGACTGGCAAAGGGCAGGGCAAATATTAACCAAGATTAACTTCTTCCCGAGTTTGGACCGGTCACCGGCTGGGTACAGGCAGTGCAACCATAACTGTAGTAAATCTGAATACATCATTACCACCCGGGCTTCATGGCCTGCCTCCCTCTCTCGACCTTTGCCTATATGAATCGTCTATGCCCAGTTTTTCCATCCCAGGAAAGCTGGCGAAAAGCCAGGCCGGTACGGGAAGCGGCTGGATTGGGACAAAGTGTGAACCCAGGGAAAAACACCCTGTTCTTCACTTGGCAGGGAGTTGAGGCACAAGGCAAGCCTAGCAGAAACAGGCTTGTCTACATCCAGGTGGGTATGGGAAAATATATAACACACTGCTTAGCTTCTGAGATCTGATGAGGTCGTAACAGCCTGGGCCACCCAGGTCAAGGCAAGACATGAACTGAAAAAAGGAAGGGGTGGGGGGAATCAACCCAAGATATATCTGCGGACCAAGAGGGTCAAGCTAACACGATATAATATATTATAAAAATACAAATGTTTACTAAGGTGTACACATGTTAAAACATATTATGATTAAAGAAAGTATCTAAATTTCAGACTTTTAAAAGCTTTTCAAATACAGATACACTTGACGGGTAAACGCTTTTTAACTTAGGACCAAACGCATTTCGGCCCCTTCATAAGAACATAAGAGACGCCAATGTTGGATCAGGCCAAGGGCCCATCCAGTCCAACACTCTGTGTCACACAGTGGCCAAAAACACCACGTGCCATCAGGAGGTCCAGCAGTGGGGCCAGGACACTAGAAGCCCTCCCACTGTTGACCCCCCCCCCAAGCACCAAGAAGACAGAGCATCACTTGCCCCAGAGTCCCTATCTATAACTTGTGGCTAATAGCCACTGATGGACCTCTGCTCCATATGCTTATCCAATTCCTTCTTGAAGCTGTCCATGCTTATAGCCACCACCACTTCCTGTGGCAGTGAATTCCAAGTGTTAATCACTCTTTGGGTGAAGAAGTACTTCCTTTTATCCGTTCGACCCAACCGCTCAGCAATTTCATTGAGTGCCCACTTCGGGCCTTCCTCAGTGGTCATTATTCTCTGTATTGCACTGACACACATGTATACATGTATAAAATACACACAATGATCATTACCCTTGATGGAGGTGACCCACATCCAGACCAATGAAATCTCTGATACCAGAATAATTTGAAGAATTGGCATGGCTATATTTATGGCCCAACATATAAGCTAGTAGCATAACTAAAAACATATAAGGAAACAACATCCGGTTATCTCCCTTATAAATAAAAGCCGAATGGTGGTGGCACTTCTCTAGAACATTCCACACGCTCCAAAATCAGTTCGCTCTCTGATCTGTCATTCAGAGGGTCTCCCTATCCACTGGCTTCTGCCTCGGAACACAGAGGTCGTTTGCATATGCGACTTGATTGGCTTTTGCCTCTTAACATTCTAAACAGTTTTGCTGTTCTGAGGTAAAATGTGTCCAATCTCCAGGTGAGGGCTGGAGATCACTCAGAATTACAACTGCTTTCCAGACGGCAGAGATCAGTTCCCCTGGAGAAAATGGTGGGCTCTGTATCCTTATATGCTGCTGAGGTGGCCCCCGTATGACAGCCAATGTGACGTAGCAGTCAGGGTTTCAGAGCATGGGAGAGGCTGCAGGTGTGTGGGGGGTGGAAAGCTGAAGAGAGAGGGGGAGATAAAGGTAGGTTGATGATTGGCTGGGAAGGAGAGAGGGTTGCCAACTCCAGGTGGGAAATTCCTGGAGATGTGAGGGATGGAGCCTGGAGAGGGTGAGGTTTCAGGAGGCGTGGGACCCCGGACAGGTACAAAGCCATAGACTCCACCCTCCAAACCAAAGATTTGCCTCTCTCTAGAGGCCGTTTTATTTATTTCCACAGCGGGCCTTTTTCCTATTATATATATATATATATATATATATATACGCAAAAACCTTTTATACGTGTATTTTGGATATTTGTATTTGAAAAGCTTTCAAAAGTCTGAAATGTAGACTCTTTTTATCATGATATGTTTTAACATGTGTACACCTTAATAAACATTTGTATTTTTATAATATATTATACAGTGTTAGCTTGACCCTCTTGGTTCGCAAGGCAAGAGATGAGCAGAGGTGGCTTTTGCCATTGCCCGCCTCTGCACAGAGACCGTGGACTTCCTCACTGGTCTCCCCTCCAAGGACTCACCAGGTCCAACCCCGGCTTAGCTTCCAAGATCTGACGAGATCTGGCTAGCCTGGGCCATGGTGCTTTAACATCAGCACCTCCTCAAAGGTCGGAAGGTGGGCCAGAGTGCCTCGTCTCCCATTAGACTTCCTAAAAACTGCGTTCAAAGTTTTATTACTCAGTTCAATTTTATTTAGTCAGTCATTTATTTAAATTGCCGTACTGTGTTCCCAGAACACTGTAGATTTCCCCACAGGCGGCCCATAAACAGCTCATGGGATCTTGTCAGATCTCAGAAGCTAAGCGGGGCGGGTTCTGGTTCGTATGGGAGACCAGTGCCAGCGTTCCCTCTAAGCTGAGTCTGTGTGAGCGAGTTCACAGTTTTTTAGCCTCCGGCTCACACATATTTTTTTTGTCTTGGCTCAGGAAGGACGGCTCCAGATCAAACTAATTGGTGCAGCAGCCAAATGGCTTGCTCACCACTTGAATGCCAGTAGCTCACAAAGTAGGATTTTACCACCGAGGAAGTCTAGGGTTGCTGTACAGAGGCAGGCAGGGGCAAACCACCCCTGCCCGTCTCTCGCCTTGAAAACCTTACAGGGTCGCCAGAAGCCACTTGACAGCAAAACAAGCTGAATTTTATCTCACCTGCAGCAGAGTCCCTTCACCCTCTCCTGCGCTGATTTAAAAACTCACCTTATAATTCCCTTGCTTTTAAAAAAAAGAAAGTTCGGCTGGAAAGACACAACACTGTCCCCCATGGCCTGTTAGCAGTGGTGTGCGCACTGGCAAGCGCTGTTCCCTCTAAGCTGAGTTAGTGTGTGAGCTAGCTCACTGTTTTTTAGCCTCCGGCTCACACATTTTTGTCTGAGCTCAGGAAGGAAGGCTGGCTCCAGAGCAAACTAATTTATGCAGGAGTCAAATCACTCACTCAGAACTTTAATTTTTTTTTAAGTACCCAAGGGTGCACTTTTATTATTTTTTTCATTATAAACTACAGACATACCTACAAACAACACCCAACTACCCCCAACAACATATAATAAGAGACTTTTATCACTTCTTCTGCTTATTAAACTCACAACTTTAATACCAGTAGCTCACACACTACATTTTTTGCTCACAAGACTCCAGAGCTTAGAGGGAACATTGCTGGCAAGCTGTGCCTCTCAGTGAAGGAGGGCTGCCCACGATGCTCCCGCTAAGGTGTGGAGTTTTGGGGCAAAAAGCCTAGGCTGATTTCACACTAGAGCTGCCTGGATGTTGCGCCCCTTTGCCCTGATACTATTGGTCAATTTCACACCCGAAGCCAAGGGGCTGCATTTGACCGGCTTCGCCCGATTTCCTCCTCGGCATTAAAGTGGTGAGCTGCTGCAGAAGTCTAGAGCCCTCCTTACTGAGCTAAGACAAAAAACGTGTGAGCCGGAGGCTCAAAAACTATCCGCCGCCTCACACTAACTCCGCTTAGAGGGAACGCTGGTTGCCAATCGCCAGGCGGAGATCCCCCGGAATCACGACTGGTCCCCAGACTGCAAAGACCAGCCCCCCCTCCCGCCCTGGAGAAAATGGCTGGTCGGGGGAGGACTCCGAGGCTGGCGTCGTGCCCCACTGAGGTCCCTCTCCGGGAGTTTCCCGAGCGGGAGCTGGCAACCCAACAAGTCCTCCCGGTGCGCGGAGCAGCCGGCGCGCGTGTGGCTGAGAGGCGGCGGCGGGGGGAAGCAAGGAAGGACTCACCGGCGCTGCCCGGCTCCACCGCCTCGGGGGTGCCCACCAGGAGCCGGCCTCCCTCCGGCAGCGAGACCAGGAAGCGGCCGCGCGCGGTGCGCAGCGGGGAGCGCAAGACCGTCTCGCCCATGGCCCGGCCGCCTTCCGCGCTCTTGCCTTCCTCCTCGGACCGGCGACCAGCCTGCCTGCCTGGCCAGCTTCCTGCTCCCGCCCGCCCCGGTGGTGCCGCCGCCGCCCGCTCCTCCCAGCTGCGCGAAAACCCGCCCTGTCCCCAGTTCAAATCCTGCCGCCCTCCTCCCCGGGGGCCTTTCTTCCCGCACCGGTTGCACATTCGGACCCGGATCCCTCGGCAAGGGACGAAAAGAGCCAGCCCCGGGAGCCTAGCGGGTTGCCAACTCCAGGCTGGGGGATTCCTGGAGATTTTGGCGGGTGGAGCCTGGGGAGGGGAACAACCTTTTTTTTTTTTAGTTTTTAAAATTTTTATTTTATTTTATTTTATTTTTCACATTTTTAATTTATTATTGCTTATATACATTATCTTACATTAAATCATTATACAATCATGGGAACAACCTGAGCAGGGTATAAAGCAGGGGTGCCAGCCTCCAGGTGGGACCTGGGGATCCCCCGGAATCACAACTTATCTGCAGACTACAGGGATCAGTTCCCCTGGAGGAAATGGCTGCTTTGGAGGGGGGACTCTGTGGCCTTGTGCCCCACTGAGGTTCTGGGATGCCAGCCTCCAGGTGGGGCCTGGGGTCCCCCGGAATTCCAGCTCATCTCCAGACTACAGAGACCAGTTCCCCTGGAGAAAATGCTTTGGAGGGGGGACTCTGTGGCATGGTGCCCCGCTGAGGTCCCTGTCCTCCTCAACCATCCCCAAATTTCCAGGAGTTTCCCAGCCTGGAGCTGGCAACCCCATCCCCTTCTTCTGTCAGTGGCCACGGGGGACCTGGAAACCCTACCTGTTCTGCGACTATGGTTGCCAACTCCAGGTTGAAAAATTCCTGGAGGTTTTAGGGGTGGAGCCTGGGGGAGGGCAGGGTTTGGGGAAATGAAGAAAGGGTTTGAGGTGTAATGCCACTGAGTTCGTGTTGGGTATTACAAGTTAGAACACGCTGGTGGCACTTCAGTATTTACTGGGTTAATGATGTTTGTTAAGTCACATGTTTGTTTGTAACCAATCTGTTTAGACAATAGAGTGCCCAGGAACTTTGGAGCTAGTTTGCTACGCTGATTGGAAACTAAGGTGTCAAGCATTAGCATTTTATGGCTTCTCTTCCCCTCTGTGTGTTCTTTGTTCTGACTAGAGAAGAAGACGCTATTCCAGCTCTTTCCGTTTTAGCTGCAAGGACGTAGACATTTTAGCTCTTTGTTATTTTCATATCCTGTGTATTTTTTTCCCATGTTAGGTTTATAGTAAACTTTTATATTTTAAAACACACCATGGACTCAGTCTCTTTAACACTCTGCTGACTAACTCAAAAAGTATCCCAACAGTCCGTCCTCCAGAGAAGCCGTTTTCTCCAGGGGAACTGATCTCAGCTGTCTGGAGATCAGTTGTAATTCCAGGGGATGTCCAGGCCCCACCTGGAGGTTGGTAACGCTAAAGCCCAGAGTAAAACAAAATACTGAGTATCAGCTTTCATGTGCATGCACACTTCTTCAGATTACATGTCTCTGAAGAAGCATGTGTGAATGCAAAGCTCATACCCAGAATTAAACTTTGTTGGTCTTAAAGGTTCCCCTGGATTCGAACTTTGTTCTGCTGCTTCAGACCAACATGGTGACCCCACCTGAAAACAAACACTGTGAATGATCAGATGTATTGGCTTGCAAGAAATCCTGTCCGTTTGCTGATTCTTTCCTGCTTCGGATTTGGCCCTGGCTCCCTCAAAGAGAGCCAGGTGAATAAATTCTAAACGGAGACAGTTCAAGATGAGCAGCTGACCATGTTCGTCTGTCTGTAGCAGTAGAAAAGAGCAAGAGTCCAGTTAGCACCTGAAAGACGAACAAGGTTTGTGGCAGGGGAGGAGCTTTCGGGAGTCACACGGCTCACTTCTTCAGGTACAGTGAGCTACACGGCATCTGAAATCACTTCCCGACAGAGGTCATTTCGGGGGGGATCGGGGGGGATCGGGGGGGGATCGACGTTCCCGCAGGTTGCTTCCGGCCGCCCCGCTTCCAGACCTCATTCAGCCAGGAGGAGGCAGGAGAAGAGGGAGGGTAAGTTGCTTCCTCCCTGCCTCTCCCCACCCCTGCCTGCCTGGGGCCAGGGAGGGCCTTCGCGGGGCTTCCTTGCACTCCCGCCGGCCTTGCAGGTCCACCGCCGGGCCCCTCATCGGGGTGGCCGGGACCGTTGGGGGCGGGGTGTGTGGCCTTATGACACACTTCCGGTGATGTCAGGGGGTGTGGCCTTATGACACACTTCCGGTGATGTCAGGGGGTGTGGCCTTATGACACACTTCCGGTGATGTCAGGGGGTGTGGCATATGCTAATGAGTTATGCTAATGAGTTCCCCTAGCTCTTTTTCTACGAAACGACCCCTGCGATATGGACTTCTGATTGGCCATTGAAGATCTCATTAAAATAACATGAACATAAGAACATAAGAGAGGCCATGTTGGATCAGGCCAGTGCCCCATGAACCCATCCAGCACTCTTATGTCACACGGGCCAAAACCCAGGTGCCATGGGGAGGTCCAACAGCAGGGCCAGAACTCCAGAAGCCCTCCCGCTGTTGCCCCTCGCCAAGCATGCATATATAGGGGGAGTGGGAGATAAAAGCAACAATTCCACCTCCTGGGGGCACTCACATTTTTTGGTGGCAGCTGCCTAGTATTGCCACTGGCAGGGGATGAGGGGGTGGGAATTCGTGTCCCACAAGGTTCACCTGCCAACTCCAGGGATACCAGTCAATTTCCACAATACTGGATGTTGTTGGGGGTCTGACCCCGTAGGACTTACTGAGTTGCCGGGTTTGGGGACACAACCTTTTCCTTCCAACCCAAATTAATCCTACTGCCAGAATGCTTTGGGCTTCAAAGTGGTGAGACCAGGGGTCATTTCCTGCAGGAGCCCACAGGAGCGGAGCTCCGGCAGTAAAGAGCCCAGGGGGCGGGCACATGCAACAAGTCCCACCCCCTGCTCCCAGCAGCCCTCAGTCAGAGCAAGAAGCGGCCAGGTAAGTTGCAGACCCCCCCCTACCCCCCCGGTCCAAAACAGTCCAGTGGCACCTTTAAGACCAAGTTTTATTCAGGTACAAGCTCTCCCTCCTCTACGAGGACAGATCTGCACATCCCCCCCCCCCAATAGCTAGCAATCCAAATCAGTCCAGTGGAGCCTGAGCGGTGGGTGTTGCCTTCTGACACACTTCCGGTGATGTCAGGGTGTGTGGCATATGCTAATGAGTTATGCTAATGAGTTGTGCTAATGAGCTCCTGCACCTCTTTTTCTACGAAATGACCCCTGGGTGAGACCCCAAAAAGCTCATGGCAGGCTGGATTGGTGAGGGATTAGGGTTGCACAAATGCCTCTCTGGAACTGCTTGTGGGATAAAAATGTCTGTGAATTAAGGAGGCTGGCTGGTCACACAGCGTTCATGCCAGCAGCGGAGAAGCTGTAGATGTCTGTTGTGCTCAACGTCTCTATTTCTTCACAGGATTTGGGAAAATAAATCGTTTTGCCCGTTTTGCAGATGTCAGAAAGAGTTAGCTTAGCAGACAACCTGAAGTAGCGAGTTTCACAGAGGAAGGCTAGCACTAAATGGCCCTTCTCTAAGTGATTTCTTTCTGAGCCTTTCTGAACCTCCAAAACCGGGGCATTTGAAGAAGACCCTCATAAGAAGCTGTAGGAAAGTTTACACCCTTGTATGGATTCTCAGAGGAACATGAAAGTCGGATTTGTGTCTCAGGCTCTTACCGCACATAAAGCATATACATACACACACACATACAGGGGTCATTTCCTGCAGGAGCGCACAGGAGCGGAGCTCCGGCAGTAAAGAGCCCAGGGGACGGGCACATGCAACAAGTCCCACCCCCTGCTCCCAGCAGCCCTCAGTCAGAGCAAGAAGCAGCCAGGTAAGTTGCAGAGCCTCTCTCTACCCTCCCCTCCCCGGTCCAAAACAGTCCAGTGGCTCCTTTAAGACCAAGTTTTATTCAGGTACAAGCTCTCCCTCCTCTGTGAGGACAGATCTGCACATCCCCCCCCCCAATAGCTAGCCATCCAAAACAGTTCAGTGGAGCCTGAGCGGTGGGTGTTGTCTTTGGACACACTTCCGGTGATGTCAGGGTGTGTGGCATATGCTAATGAGTTATGCTAATGAGCTCCTGCACCTCTTTTTTTACGAAATGACCCCTGCTGCCACATGTGTATCTCAGTTGCATGTATCTCAATAGGCCTAGAGAGAGGTGGTGAGCTCCCCCTCACTGACAGTCTTCAAACTGTGGCTGGTCAAACACTTCCTGGTGGTCAGCCATGTTGGTCTGAAGCAGCAGAACAAAGTTGGAGTCTGTAACGATTCCTTGTTTATGTGTGTGTGTCTCTTTAAAAGTTTGGTTGCATGTTAGATTAGTCTAGTCTAGAGTGTTTGAAGAGACAAGTGTGGTGTGATTGGTGATTGACAGAGAGGGGAAGGGTTTTAGAAAGTGTTTCTGAGTGGATGAATGGGTATGTCTTTCAGGAGTGACAGTTAGAGGTTTGACAGTTGATGAGGACAGTTAAACAGTCAGAGAAGCAGTCTGTGTTTGTGCAGTTAAGAACAGCTGAGGTTGTTCTGAGAGAATAGTAAAATGTAAATGAAAGTAACTGAAGACAAAGTTTAGGAAAGGCTGTATGTCTTGGAGAGAAACAGTGAACTTACATGACCTTGAGTTAAAGTTACAAAGTTACATGCCAAGACCCCTGACAGTGAAGGGAAAAGTGTGTGAAATACCAAAGCAATTGTTTAGTATTTACCCATTCCTAGTTACAGTGTTCTACCATATTATTTACAAATTATATCAATAAATCTACTTTTATTTAAGATACCAGTTCTGAAAGAAATAATTTCTCAGGAAACACATAGACCCTCATGAAAGCCTAAAAACCGACCTACCTACCCAGTGATAGAAATATTATAGTATAAAGGTTTGGAAAGCCTTAAATTTCCTGGTGGCAGCCGAATATACACAGTAAAACAAAACGTAAAGAACATTTTAAAGGGAAACCAGACCTCCCCAGATAAGGGGTCGTCACAGAGTCCAAATCAGTCAATCCTCAAAGAAATCAACCCTGACTGTTCCCTGGAAGGCCAGATAATGAAACTGAAGCTCAAGTACTTTGGCCACCAAATGAGAAGGGAGCACTCGCTGGAGAAGAAGACCCTGGAGATTTTGGGGGTGGGAGGGTGGGATTTCGGGAGGGGAGGGACTTCAGTGAGGTATAATGCCATAGAGTCGAACTTCCAGAGTGGCCATTTTCTTCAAGCGAACTGATCTCTGTCGCCGGGAGATCACTTGTAATCGATGCTCCCTCTAAGCCAGGGGGGCCCACACTTGCTTTAACGTAAGAGCCACACAGAATAAATGTCAGATGTTTGAGAGCCGCAAGACACAAACAAATATCACACAAACGTTTTTATTGAAAAATAAGCAAATTTGCTTTTTATTAATATTCAATTAGACAGTGTGAAAGAGTCGCATGGGGCTCCCGAGCTGCAGTTTGGCCACCCCCTGCTCTAAGCTGTGGAGTCTTGTGAGCAACAATTCTACTTGGCGAGCGACTGGCGTTAATGGTGTGAGCGAGCAATTTGGCTCCTGCATAAATCAGTTTGCTCTGGAGCCATCCCTTCCTGAGATAAGACAAAAGTGTGTGAGCCGGAGGCTAATAAGCTGTGAGCTAGCTCACACTAACTCAGTTGAGAGGGAACACTGGTTGTAACAGGGGGAGATCTCCAGCCACCACCTGTAGGTTGGCAACCCTAAGAGCAGGGCTCTAGTCGGGGGGGAGCTCTCAGGTACGGAGCTCCGGAAGAGAACCTCTAGGGGGCGGGGCGGTCACGTGGTGAAGCCCCGCCCCCTTCTTTACCCCGCCCTCTGCTTCGATCCTCATTCCGTTTGGGAATGAGGATGAAGCAGGAGGGTAAGTAGCCGGGCCTTCTGACACACTTCCAGTAATGTCAGGGGGTGTGGCCTTCTGTCACTTCCGGTGATGTCAGGGGGCGTGGCATATGCAAATAAGTTATGCTAATGAGTTATGCTAATGAGCTCCGGCAGCTCTTTTTCTACAACAAGACCCCTGCCTAAGAGGAAGGGACTGGGAGGACAGGAAGTTCAGTGGGGTACAGTGCCCCAAAGTCCACCCTCCAAAGTATCATTTTTTCCCCCAGGAGAACTAATCTCTGTAGTCTGGAGATGAACTGTAATTACAAGGGAAACCCCAGGTCCCACCTGGAGGCTGGCATCCCTATTACCTAAATGAATCTAACTCGCTTTGTACAGCTTTAAGTTCTGCATAGAAATGAGGCAGGCTGGTCTTTTAACCCTCATGTTTCATTTCCCCCCCCCCTCTCCTAAGGTTGCCAACTCCGGGTTTGGAGGTACCTGGAGATTTGACGGCAGAGCCTGGAAGAATGGGGTTTAGGAAGGGTAGAGTCATACAGCCCACCTTCCAAAGCAGCCATTTTCTCCTGCAGAAGAAGAGGAATAAATGTTTAAAATAAAGAAATAATAAATACATGAGCAATGCTCCCTCCAAGCTGTGGAGTCCTGTGAGCAAAAATTCTTCATTGTGAGCTACCAGCATTAAAGTTGTAAGCAGGTGATTCGGCTACTGCATAAACACTAGAGTCGGATTCGACTGGCTTTCGAGCAAGGGAAACCTTTACCTTTGCCTATGCTTAAAAGCAGAGGTGGAACTTCGTCCATTGCACCTCTTGGAATGCCCTGACATCCCCCCCCCCCCCTTGCAATTCTGTTTTCTCTCTTCGGTTAATCCTTCATGCAACTGACCAAGGGGACCTCACCCATAAATACCATACCCCCCCCCTTCCCCCAGCCGCTGCAAGAGACTCTGGTTTAAATTCTCTCCATCTTCCAAAAAACCCCAAAGGTCCCATTTCGTTGCTATGCCTCCGGTTGCTAAGGCCGCTCTATCCCATCGCCTCTCCTCTCCATGGTCGCCCGTTTCAAAGCAACCGGGCCTTCGCGCCCTCTCCTCACGGGATTGGTGAGCGGACAATGAAAAGGTAGCTCCGCCCCGACGCCGCCTGTCCTCCAATAGAGACAGCGATTTCTCTGACGGGCAGGCGACTGGTAACAAGCGGGCCAATAGAGCTAAAGGTCGGGGGAGGGTGCTGGGCAGGCGGTATTTCCTGGTTGAGGAGTGAATGGGGCTGGAGGCGGATCCGGAGTAAATATCTGCCGGGTGAGCCAGCCTTATTTTTATTTTATTATTTATGGTAGGCTGTGTTGTTGTTGTTGTTGGTTTTTTTTTTTGGGGGGGAATAAAGGTCCTTAATTAAAGAATTAAATTAGAACGTAGGATACCGTAATGGGCTGCTCAGCTGGGCATGGGAAGGCCAATGGGGGGGGGGCGTCAAGTGGCAGGGAGTCCCGCTGCCTCGTAAGCCTCTGATGCCCATTGGCTGTCTTTTTCTCCTAGGGAAGGGCTTCCCCCCTCCCTCCTCGCCCACCCCTCCAGGCTTGGCTTCTTCACCACCATGGAGACCCTCATCCCTGTCATCAACAAGCTGCAAGAGATCTTCAATACGGTGGGGGCCGAAGTCATCCAGCTGCCCCAGATTGTCGTGATTGGCTCACAGGTGAGCTTATAGAATCATAGAGTCGGAAGGGACCTCCAGGTTCATCTAGTCCAACCCCCTGTGCAATGTAAGCCGCTCTGAGCCTGGAGGGATTTATAAATGTTTTTAAATTTGTTTTATATTGGCGTTTGCCACTTGTAAGCCGCCCTGAGCCCGCATTGCGGGGAGGGCGGGGTATAAATCGAATTGAATGAATGAATGAGTGAGTGAGTGAGTGAATGAATGAATGCAGGAAATTCACAAATACCCGCCCCCCCCCCCCCCCCCTACCTCCCCCTCTCACCCCCCCCTCACACCACAACCCA